CCAGCCCCTTCCCAGCTCTGTTCCCTGCTCTGGACACGCTCCAGCTCCCCAGTGCCTTTCCACCCTGGTTCTCCATGAGTTTCCATCTGTCTGGCCCCAGATACCCCACAGCTCCCCTTGCTCAGCCGCCTGCTGCTCCCAGAAAGCCGGGATTTGTTTACTATGCACCAATTTATTTCATTTTCAATTTAAAACATAAAAAGTACGCGGGTTACAGCAACATAATTTGCAGCCTGCTGATTAATAATACAGCTGATGGAACAAAATTGGGCTGTGAGCTCGAAGTGCTGAGGAAAGCTAAAATTTAGTGAGCAGTGAGTGGATGTGGGGTAGGCAGCCTGCAGCTGGGAGAGGAGGCTGCCGTGGCCAGAAACACTGTTTGCTTTTTTAGCTGCCTCACACACAAATCCTGGCTCTTACATCCCCTTCCCCCTACCCAAGTATGATTTTTTTGTGCTTGGAGATGGTCAGCACCCTGCTGGAAAATCCTGTGGGGAAACTGACACCAGGAGAGAGATTCCTGAGGGTTCTCCATCCACGCAGAGAGAAGGCAGCCCACACAGTGGTGATTTATAACCTGGTTTTTTTCCCCCAAGGGCACTGAGATGCTGCCCAGCAGACAGGCTTTAGCACCTCTGGAAGTGTGGCTGGTTTTACATCAGTTCTTAATTTCATGGGCTCTGCTATGAAAAAAAAGTCTTTGCTCTCTGCCTGTTGTGTCTGGCCTGTGAAGGCATTAAAGATTCATCCCAGGGCGTGCTGGCGCAGGTAGGAGCAGCTCTGCACCGTGTTCCACGGGCTGATGAAGTACCAGGGATGTGTCTGGAAGAGGAGGGTGCTGAGGAGGATGTGCTGAGCACGCTGTACTGATTTATTAAAAAAATATGGATATTGATCTAGTATCGATATCCAACTGTGACGGACAAAAACTCTCTAACAGTTTAAAGTTAGAAAGTGTATGTTTATTCGACACCGGGCAGCATGTGGGATAGCTCCCAAATACACACCACACCTTCCAGGTGATTACAGAGTCTTTTTATCCATACAAGTATTGAATACACAAAATACAAATACATATTCATAATTTTGGTACATCCCATTCCCCGCTTCGTATGCTAATCACTCTAAAAGCCATTCAGCATGCGTAGTTTGTCCCTTGAAATGGGTTGGTGGTCCCTTTTATGGGGAGGGGTCCCAAAATGAGGAAGTCAATGAAGTCTTCCTCGTTCTGATCTTTCTACCTTTTCAATGTGGGTATGACAAATGAACTCTTGGTAGAACTCCCATTCCTTGTCTTCAATTGGTTTCAGAACAGAGGAGGGCCACAATTGTCTTATGTTCCTAAAAGCTCTTTATCAGTTTCTATATTCTTCATTATAAACCCAGCTGACAAGCAATCAATTATTAGTTAACTACTAACTCCTAACTTCATCAAGGCCTACTCATTTATTATTCTTATTTTAATTAACTCTAGTAAGGCTTATTTCTAACTAAAATCTTAGCTCCTCAAAATCTCTAAATGCCTTAAAGTTTACGTTTCAGGAGGTAGCGGAGATGAGCACCCTCTCCCTGGCAAGGCAGGACTGAAGCCACACCTGCCTGCATTCGCCTTACCTGTGCTCGGGGCTGTCTCAGAGAGAGCCTGGAATAAAAACCACAGCGCCGGGGTGAGAAAAAGAGATTGGTGGTGGTGGCAGCTCCCGACACACATCCAGGCACCGGCTTCGATCGAGCGTGCCAGGTCCCTCCTCAGCAATCACCGGGAAATTGATGCAAACACTCCGGCAGCTTTTTGAGAGCTTTCCTTCCCCTCTGTGAAAAGAGACACAATCCCTCGTGCTTGAGGATGCAGCACAGATTATCTAGTCAGGGGTCGTGATTATCTCGTCAGGCTCCGCGCTGTTTAATTAAGTTGTTTGTTGTGCTGTCGGTCTCCATCCCGAGGGTGGCAGCGCTGCGGGAGGATGCTCCGGGGGATGAGGGGTTAATGGGATGCTCCAGAGATGAGGGGTTAGGGGGATGATCCAGGGATGAGGGGTTGGGGGATGCTCCGGGGATGAGGGGTTTGGGGGATGCTCGGGGGGATGAGGGGTTAGGGGGATGCTCTGGGGGATGAGGGGTTAATGGGATGCTCCGGGGATGAGGGGTTAGGGGGATGCTCCGGGGATGAGGGGTTAGGGGGATGCTCCGGGGCATGAGGGGTTAAGGGGATGTCCAACCTGACCTGGGACACTTCCAGGGATCCAGGGACAGCCACAGCTGCTCTGAGCACCCTGTGCCAGGGCCTGCCCACCCTCCCAGCCAGCAATTCCTTCCCCATATCCCATCCTGCCCTCTTTCAATTTGATCCCATTCCCCTTATCCTCTCCCTCCATCCCTTGTAAATGGTCTCTCTCCATCTCTCTTGTCAGCCCCTTCAGGTCCTGGAAGGCCACAATTAGGTCACCCCCAATCTTCTCCTCTCCAGGCTGAGCAATCCCAATTGTCTCAGCCTTTCCTCACGGAGGAGTGCTCCCTCTGATCATCTTGGTGGCCTCCTCTGGCCTCACTCCAGAACTCCCTGTCCCAGATGTTCAAAGAGCCGTGCCCACGGCCATGCCACAATCCAAAGGCCAGGATGGCCCCTTATTTTCTGTTCCACTTTGTCCTTGGCTGGGCCACTCCAGGGCTGGAAACACCCGTGCTGAGGGGCAGACCGGGATCACGGGGCTGGAGCCAGGCATGTCAGCGTGTGTTTTGCTGCAGCAGCATCTTGGAGCACAGCAGCCCCATCTGAGAACAGCCAAGCACCCCTGGATTCTGGCACTGGGCTTTGCCCTTAGGTGTCCCTGGCTGTGTGTTTGTCACCTGGGGCCCAAGAGCCACGGGCAGTTTCCCTGGGTGGTTTTAACAACAACTGCTAGCGCTCCTGTTACTCTTTCTGCTCTCTGTTCCCACCCTTCCATCCACAGGCACAAGCTTCTATTAAATACCTTCCTGCACACAGGGTAACCAGATGGGAACACTCATTTTAATCCTAGACAGCAAAACAGCAGAGTTACAGATTACCATGCCACCAGAAATTGCTTATACACCTTCGTTTCCTCCCATCTAATTCCCTGGGAGTTTTAATTTACGGGACCATTTTTTATTTTTTCTCACCACTTCCCTTGCATCAGACAGGGTTCCTTCAGCTCCAACAAAGCAGCATGCCTGCCTGGAGGGGATCAATAACTATTGAGCTATCACGCTTCCTCCACTTAGACTGTTGAAGCAGCTGCCTTTAATTGCTCTTTCGCACTGTAAATACAGCGATTTTTTTTTTTTTTTTTTCCCTTTGAGGCTGCTCAGTGGGTGAAGGCACCCGCGGGTAGCAAGAGCTCAGCTCCCTCACCTGTGATCCATCCATCACACCTTCCCTGCTGGGAGCACGATCCGAGCTCCAGGGGCCCAGGACGGTCCCACAGGGACGATGGCTCGGGGCAGAACCAGAACCCGCAGGCTAAAAGTGAGGAGCACGTTGGTGCCGGCAGGGAAAAGGGTTGGAAGCCCAGCCGGGAGGGTCAGGGTGCTCAGCAGCCTCCGCTGCGAGGGATGCCCCGAGCTGGGGGACAGGCGGGGACCCCCTCCCTCGGATCCTCAGAGGGGCTGGGGCAGAAGGGGGGAGCCAGATCCCTGCCGGTGTCTCCAGGGAACGGGGAACGGATCCCCTAGGTGGCTTCTCCCGGGGATGGAGAGGGATCACCGGGCTCCTCTCGGGGATGGAGAGGGATCACCGGGCTCACCGAGCTCCTCTCGGGGATGGAGAGGGATCACCGGGCTCCTGTCAGGGATGGAGAGGGATCACCGGGCTCACCAGGCTCTTTTCTGGGATGGAGAGGGATCACCGGGCTCCTCCCGGGGATGGAGAGGGATCACCGGGCTCCTCTCGGGGATGGAGAGGGATCACCGGGCTCCTCTCGGGGATGGAGAGGGATCACCGGGTTCCTCTCGGGGATGGAGAGGGATCACCGGGCTCCTGTCGGGGATGGAGAGGGATCACCGGGTTCACCGGGCTCTTTTCTGGGATGGAGAGGGATCACCGGGCTCCTGTCTGGGATGGAGAGGGTTCACCGGGCTCCTCTCCGGGATGCCGAGGGAGGAGCGGAGGGTCTGGGTGACCTCCGGCAGCTCCCCCCGACCACAGCGAGTGGGTCCGAACCCCTCCGTGCCGCTCCCCCCGGGGATGGCGAGGGGGGTCCGGACCCCTGGGGTGGCTTTTCCCGGGGATGGCGAGAAGGGGAGCGGGGAGAGCGGAGCCCTGGGGCGGCTTTTTTCCCGGGGATGGCGGGGGATGACCGAACGGACCCCCGGGCGGTTCCTCCCGGGGATGGCGGGGGATGACTGAACGGACCCCGGGGGTGGTTCCTTCGGGGGATGACTGAACGGACCTCGGGGTGGTTCCTCCCGGGGATGACTGAACGGACCCCGGGGTGGTTCCTCCCGGGGATGGCGGGGGATGACTGAACGGACCCCGGGTTGTTCCTCCCGGGGATGGCGGGGAATGACTGAACGGACCCCGGGTTGTTCCTTCGGGGGATGGCGGGGGATGACTGAACGGACCCCGGGTTGTTCCTCCCGGGGATGACCGAACGGACCCCGGGGTGGTTCCTCCCGGGGATGGCGGGGGATGACTGAACGGACCCCGGGTGGCTCCTCCCGGGGATGACTGAACGGACCCCGGGTGGCTCCTCCCGGGGATGGCGAGAGGGGTTCGCACCCCTCCGGCGGCATTTCCTGCGAATGCCGGGGGATGACCGGACCCCCGGGCGGTCCCTCCCCGGAACGGGAGGGGGGACCCGATGCCGGGGGCGGCTTTTCCCAGGGATGACGAGGGAGGACGGGACCCCCGGGCGGGGAGCCGACCTCTCCGGCGTGTTTTGCCGGGGATGGCGATGGACGAGCGGATCCCGGCGGTGCCTCCCGGGGCTGGGGGGGGGTTCGCGGCTGCGGCCCCGCCTCCCGCAGGTGCCGGCGCGGCGGGGGCCGGGGGTGACGTCAGGCGGGGCGGGCGCGGTGCCGGTGCCGGTCGGGCCATGGCGGAGCCGAGCGCGGCGGCCCCGGTGAGTGCGGCGGCCCCGGTGCTGCCCCCGAGCGCTGCCGCGGAGCGGGGCCGGGCGGGGGGAGCCGGGCGGGGGCGGCGGATCCGTGCGGGAGCATCCCCGGGAGCGGTACCGGTGTCGCCTCGTCCTTCCCGTGCCCCGGACCCGCCTTGCCCGGCGAGGAGGGGTTCAGAGCCGAGAGAGCGTCGATCTGCCTGAGAGGGGAGCGGAGCCACGGGCATTGCTTCTCCGCGGCTTCCCACGGGCTCGGCGCGTCTTTGTGTGCCCTGTGGGCTTGTTCGGGCGCCGTGCGAACGGGTGTGCCGTGTCTGTGTGTCCGTGCCCTGTCTGTCTGTCCGCCCTGGGTGTCTGTGTGTGCCCTGTCTGTCTGTCTGTGCCCGCCGGTCGGTGTGTGCCCTGTCTGTGTGTCCATGCCCTGTCTGTCTGTCTGCCCTGTGTGTCTGTGTGTGCCCTGTCTGTGTGTCCATGTTCGTGTGTCTGTGTGTGCCCTGTCTGTCTGTCCATGCTGTGTGTGTCTGTCCGTGCCCTGTCTGTCTGTCTGTCCGCCCTGTGTGTCTGTGTGTGCCGTGTCTGTGTGTCCGTGCCCTGTCTGTCTGTCCGCCCTGTGTGTGCCCTGTCTGTCTGTCTGTCCGTGCTGTGTCTGTGTGTGCCCTGTCTGTGTGTCCGTGCCCTGTCTGTGTGTCCGTGCTGTGTGTGTCTGTGTGTGCCCTGTCTGTCTGTGTGTATGTGCTGTGTGTGCCCTGTCTGTGTGTCCGTGCTGTGTGTGTGCCTGTGTGTCCATGCCCTGTCTGTCTGTCCGTGCTGTGTGTGTCTGTGTGTGCCCTGTCTGTCTGTCCGTGCCCAGTCTGTCTGTCCGCCCTGTGTGTCTGTGCGTGCCCTGTCTGTCTGTCTGCCCTGTGTGTCTGTGCGTGCCCTGTCTGTCTGTCTGCCCTGTGTGTCTGTGTGTGCCCTGTCTGTGTGTCTGTGCGTGCCCTGTCTGTCTGTCCGCCCTGTGTGTCTGTGTGTCCATGCCCTGTCTGTCTGTCCGTGCTGTGTGTGTCTGTGTGTCCGTGCCCTGTCTGTCTGTCCGTGCTGTATGTGTCTCTGTGTGCCCTGTCTGTCTGTCCGCCCTGTGTCTCTGTGTGCCCTGTCTGTCTGTCCGTGCCCTGTCTGTCTGTCCGTGCTGTGTGTGTGTCTATGTGTGCCCTGTCTGTCTGTCCGTGCTTGTGTGTCTGTGTGTGCCCTGTCTGTCTGTCCATGCCCTGTCTGTGTGTGCCCTGTCTGTCTGTCCATGCCCTGTCTGTCTGTCCGCCCTGTGTGTCTGTGTGTGCCCTGTCTGTCTGTCCGTGCCCTGTCTGTCCATGCTGTGTGTGTCTGTCCATGCCCAGTCTGTCTGCCCATGCCCCATTTGCCCACATGATCCCTCTGTGTCCGTCCCTGCCCTGCGAGCCCACGCGTGCTGTGCGTGCCCGTGGTTCCTGTGGGTCTGTACCTGCCCTGTGAGTCCGTAGGTGCCTCGGGGTGTCCCTGTGAGCTGCATCCATCGATCCCGAGGTGCCGTGAGTGTCTGTACCCGCCCTGTGTGCCCACATGTGCCATGTGCGCCTACATGCATACTCACGGCTCCACAAACCCAGTGTCAGCGTGCCTGGCAGCTTCCCCAGACCCCTTCCCTGTGCCCAGACAGAGAAAACTGCTTCTCACCCTCTGCCCTGCTCCAAGGCAGGCTGCATTTGCTCTCGGTCAGGTTTATTCCCTCTCACCTGGGCCAGACCCTCGGGGGAGGTGGCAGGTGGTGCCAGGCCAGGCTTTAATGGCACAGCGTGTTGGGAAGGTGAGTTTGGCTGGGGAGATCCATCCCGGGCTGCTGTGGGGTGAGGACCAGAGAGGGGGAGGCAAACCTGCCCCTGTGAGGACCAGAGAGGAGGAGGCAAACCTGCCCCTATGAGGACCAGAAAGGGGGAGGCAAACCTGAGCTGGGTGTCGGAGGTGTTGGGGTGCCTCTGCCTGCCTGGGCTGTGTGCCCAGGGACACGCTGCCCGCAGGAGGGGATGTGCAGTGTCCTGGGTTTCCCTTGTCCAAGCAGCTGGCTTGGTAGTGGGCACGCAGAGCTTGTGCTGCTGGTCCTCACAGTTAATTAGACACGACTAATCCTATCTGGCTTGGGAACTTCCCAGCAAACCAGAGTGATTTTTCCTCTCCTGGCCTGAGCAGGATCCCAGCCTCCTGCAGAACGAGGCCTGGGGACAAGGACATCTCTTCCAACCCCTCGCTCAGACCTGCTCTGACCTTGCTGTGGCTCAGGTGTCCCTCAGGTGGAAGGTGACAAGGCCCGTGGAGGTTCGAGCATGGAGAATTGCACAGAAAGGGAAGTCACGACTGTAATGAGGAAATTGCAGGAATAATGGCCAGAGCTGGACTTTTGAGGATAAATCTCACTCCCAGCAGGAAAACATCAGCATTCCCCATCCCTACAAAAGAAGAGGGGGCAAAGGGACACAGTAATCCCTGTTCCATTGATGCCTTTGTGCTTGGGAGAACCAGGTGTTCCCTGCCCTTGCCTTGGAGCCAAAGAGGAGAGTCAGGCTCACTCAGGGATATGAGTTAGAGGCGGATTTATCAGTGCTGGGTTAATGGTTGGTGATTTTGGAGGGCTTTTCCATCCTAAAGGAGTCTGTGACTGTGATTCATCGCAGTCCTTCCCCTCCTGCAGCTGAGCCCAGCCTGTTAGTGAGCGCTGACAAAACCTGAAATCCCAGTCAAATCACCCGCGTTGGAAAGAATGACATTGATCTGGGAACGCTGTCGGGCGAGTCCCCCAGGCAGAGGAGGACTGGTGTTTGTCTCTTCTTTACACCAGAAGACCTGCCTCCAGGAGCTGGGTTAGCTCCTCACCCTGATCCTGCCCCCCAAATTCTCCAGGACTGCTGTTCTGGGCTGGAATTACCTCTCAGCTTTGCAGGATGCATGACCCAGCTGGACTGGAGGTGGATCTTAGTGGGTGCTGTTTGCCCTTGCTCAGGGGTCTGAAAGGGTCTGTTCCGAGCTGTCCCCCTCCAAACTGGGGGGACAGACACCTCCAAACGAGGCTTGTTTCCCTCTCTGGAAAGCCTCCTATGCAGGCCAGGCAAATGCCTTTCCGTGTGCCGCTTCTGGTTTGGATAGCTGAGCTTGAAAGGTCTAAATTTAAGCGAGATGAATCTCACCCGGCGCTCGCAAACCTTGCTTTTCAGACTTTTCGCCTTGGTCTTTCCTTTTTTTAGCATGACCCTGCTGTTTTCCTACCGCTCAGGACTCTTCCCAAGCACAGAAAATGCTTCTGAAACTTTCCACACCCCCAGGTGGGAGGTGTTGCAGAAATGCAACTGCAGGGAAGCATTTGCAGCTCATCCTCCTTGCAGAAGCCCGGGTTAAACAAGCAGCCTGTTAATTTTGTGTTAATGGCTCTGAGGAGCGGCGAGTCCCCCCTCCACCCCCTTCCTCCCTACCTCGTGCCAGCATTTAATTGCTCTCACTCCGGAGAGATGCTATCTCGTTTCAAGGTTGAACTTAGCTAGTTTTGGCTTGCAGCGGGGGGATGCTGCCGTGTCCTTGTCACAGAGGTGCCTCGCTGTTCTCTGTCGCTGTCACCGGTTCGCATTTCTCAGGAGCCCGAGGGTGCTGTCCGCTCCCACCGCGGGGCTCCTGCTGCTCCTGGCGTGGTTTTTGTGGCATCCTCGGGATGTGGTTGGTGTGGTCTTGTTGCCCAGGTGCCCGTCTGGGTGCAGCCCTGGGTGTAAGTGCACCTTTTTGGCTCCTGGCATCCCCACGGGACGTGGCTGGTGTGGTCTTGTCACCCAAGTGCCCGTCTGGGTGCAGCCCTAGGTGTGAGTGCACTTTTTTGGCTCCTTGCAGCCCCACGGGATGTGGCTGGTTTGGTCTTGTTGCCCAGGTGCCCATCTGGGTGCAGCCCTGGGTGTCATCTCGCTTTTTTGGCTCCTTGCAGCCCAAAGGGACATGACTGGTGTGGTCTTGTTGCCCAGGTGCCCGTCTAGGTGCAGCCCTGGGTGTCAGCTCACTTTTTTGGCTCCTTGCATCCCCACAGGATGCAGCTGGTGTGCCCGTGTTGCCCGTCTGGGTGCAGCCCTGGGTGTGAGTGCATTTTTTTGGCTCCTGGCAGCCCAAAGGGACGTGGCTGATGTACCCAAATTGCCCAGGTGCCCATCTGGGTGCAGCTGTGGGTATCAACTCGCTTTTTTGACTCCTTGCAGCCCCACAGGACGTGGCTGGTGTGCCCGTGTTGCCCGTCTGGGTGCAGCCCTGGGTGTCAGCTCACTTTTTTGGCTCCTTGCAGCCCGACGGGACATGGCTGGTGTGCCCATGTTGCCCGTCTGGGTGCAGCCGTGGGTGTCATCTCGCTTTTTTGGCTCCTTGCATCCCCATGGGATGTGCCTGGTGTGCCCAAATTGCCCAGGTGCCTGTCTGGGCGCAGCCCTGGGTGTCATCTCGCTTTTTTGGCTCCTTGCAGCCCCACAGGACGTGGCTGGTGTGGTCATGTTGCCCGTCTGGGTGCAGCCCTGGGTGTCAACTCGCTTTTTTGGCTCCTGGCAGCCCGAAGGGACGTGGCTGGTGTACCCAAATTGCCCAGGTGCAGGTCTGAGTGCAGCTGTGGGTGTCAACTCGCTTTTTTGGCTCCTTGCATCCCCATGGGATGCAGCTGGTGTGCCCGTGTTGCCCGTCTGGGTGCAGCCTTGGGTGTGAGCGAACTTTTTTGGCTCCTTGCATCCCCACGGGATGTGGCTGGTGTACCCAAATTGCCCAGGTGCCCGTCTGGGTGCAGCCCTGGGTATCATCTCGCTTTTTTGGCTCCTTGCAGCCCCACAGAACTGTAGGTGACAGATACTCCTGCTCATCCCAAACCCTTTCCTGGCTCTGGCAGAGGTCTGTGTCCTGGCACACAAAGCCGTGATCTGTCCAAATGCGGCCCCACTGAGGGGATTTGGGCCATGGACCGACCACCCGTGAGTTACCGCGGCTTTCCC